GGACATGCCACCACACCACCCCGCATGTATGAGGGGCCGGCGTGATGCTCCAATGGCATTGCTACCCCCAGGGCCCCGTCCCGCCTAACCCTGGAGCGGTTGACCACGAGATCTAGCCCTTTGACTTCCCACGGATGGGCTTTGACCAGTGGGCCTCTCCACCCGGTTGTGTCAGGTCAGCACAGAGGGACACCTGGGAGCAACATCCGGGCCAAACCGGCTACATCCCCTCCGTGTAGACCCGACGCGTCCGTTTCCCCCCTCCAGGTGCCGGCTACGGCGCTGTCCGTGAGGGGGGCCACGTCCCGGAGAGGCGTGCCGCCTCTTCGGACATGCCACAACACCACCCGGTTGTGGTAGGTCATCCGATATATATATATATATATATACACTTGGGAGCAAAGTCCCCTTCCTATAGACAGCGCGGTGCGGATCGATGACGTAGCATATATGCCGACGGCTGCCGTCGACGTAGGCCTTGGTCGGTGCGCTTTGGATCGATGACGTGGCGTTCGTATCTATGCCGACGGCCGACCGTCCCCGCCATCGGCATAAATCTGACGCCGTTAGCCGCCTATCAATGGCGTGGTCGCCGGGCCCGTAGCTATTTTGACAGCCGGTATATGCCGACGGCAGCTGTAGGCATAGATTCGTCTATGCCGACGGCCGTTCTTTGCCGACGGGGGTCGTCTGCGTACACTGGGATAGCCCGACGGCTGTTGTACGCCAACGGCCTGGGGCCAGCTGTCGGCATAGTCTGGATTAGGCCGACGGTAGCCGTCGGCATACTTGCGGCCATCGGCATCGAGCCCTGTTCCGGTAGTGCGCGCGTGAAGCACACCTCGGCCGGAGTGACGGGGGAGGAAGGACAGCCACAGCCCATTTAACACGGCCAGCGACCCGGGAGCGAACGGCTTCTCTAACAAAAAAAGGGACGCCCCGCTTCGCGTCGTGTGTTACTGTTTCAGGAACCATTGCACGGGCGGAGCAGGGACCAGCTGCCTTTGGCTAGGGGTAGGAGCGTCCTGCCTCCCTGCCTGCCTTATTTGTGGCGCGACGCCGACATCACAAAATGGTCGCTCTGCGGCTTCCTTCCAACCGTGACCAAAGGAATGATTGGCCGGCGATGCGTCTTGGTAGGCAAGGAAGAAAGCCTTTTAGCCCCTGTGACAGGCTTCATATGCTTGAAGAGCTTCTCTGAATTAAAGGATCTTTTATACTAGGGAAATTTTGTTTTTGCCTCCGAAGTATGGACGGAAATCTGCACCGTCAATATGTATGTGTGGTGAATGATTAATAACTACGTTTATATATATCTGTATGTAGTTCGTAATGAAATCTTTAGAAAGACTTATATATATGGGACGGAAGGAATATTTTAGACTTGCACCGTGACCTTGTCGATGAACATAATAAGCATCTCTTACCGCCATAGGAGGCAGAGAACATTTCAGTCAGACGTTCACATGCCCATGCATGTATGCCTGGTGAGATCGCAACCGCAGCGCATGGGCTAAGAGCATGGCCGGCGCCAGCCTCAAACGTCCAGACAGCCCACCCGGTTAATTATTGACCAGTCACAAAAGTCCGATCTACACGAGCGCTCAATTGGGCCTCAAACGCCCGGACTGATCGACACCTCTCATATCCAGTCAAATATGAGGTAGATATGGAGGCATCCGGGCGTGCCTATCACGTCGGACTGATGGGGGTCCCACGCGAAAACGCCCCAAAAAATGTTTAATTCTAAAAAATGTTTGGGATTTCCAAAAAGTTCTGAACTTTAAAACATTTTTCCTATGTTATTTTTTTAATAACAAACTGGTATGACTTGCTTGTTCCTCTTCTGCCAGCGTCATGCTCGGCTCATGTAATCTGCCACTCTACAAGTACAGTTGAGTTAATACCACTTTGTGTCCAGTGCTAGTCAATTGGATTCTGTGAAGAAATTAAGCAGTCCAATCATAAGAATAAAATCCACCCTGTAGTATCGCTAGTCGTCGGCGCGGGCAAAACTGCCCTCTGCGCCATTCATTTTGCGTTAAGCAACCTAAACCTTTTGTTTTCTTACAAACAAGGCCTATGATTTTGCGTTAAACGCCCCAAAGCAAGTTGGGGCAATTTTCAATTAAAATTTCGGCAGCATAACGCGTTGGGGAGGTTTTTTATTTCGAGCGCAAGTTGGGGCAACCACTACATGCCATTACAAGAATGCACACATTAAGAGGTCAATTTACACGTGAAGGAAAAATAGAAGCTCAACGTCTTCCCTCATGCAATATACAGCAACTACCTCTCATGGCATTCTACCACATCGTCAAAGCAACAAAAGAAAGCTCATTAAGCAATACCAAAGATAAAAAAAAAAGACAAGCCAAAGGGACGACACAAAATGTTGTAATAATACCACCAAAGAGATACCTAATAGAGCTAGCTAGTGTTCTAGAGTGCAGTTTGGTACCATCAAGATAGGCCAAGCTAGTGTCCGATTACTTGCGCATATCTGACCGCAAAAAAAGATGACAAATGAAAAAAAAAAGGAAACATTAACAAGCTTGTGTTAGAAGGCAACTGCAGTTGTAATGAATCTAGATAAAATCCTGGAATGTGAAAGCATTGCCTAAAAACAAGTATAATTTACACCCGCAAAAAAAGTGTCATTTAGACATTTAAAATTACTGAAGGACTTTTAATAAACCTTAATGAAGGGTCATAGTGATTAAACTTATTGTTTTCAGCTATGTTATGTTGTTGTAAAAGTTTTTGCAACCTTCATACATTTTCGGCTAGAAATTTCGGCAGCATAACGCATCGGAACGGAATGCACCCACAACAACACTACATTATTAGTGGAGGAATTCAACATTAAGAAAACATTCAAGAGATGATGTTTTGCAGGAACAAATACATTGCCTATATCAAGCAATCACTGTTGAATCAATACCAGACGTGTCATCTATCCAAGGTCCAACCATTTTCCTTCACTAAAATATAAAAGTGATTGACACATAAGTTGCACTACATCTCTAGATCAGCTGACTTAGACTTCTTTGCCGTGTCATCCTCACTGCAGAATGTGTATTGGGCCCAAGATTACTACTATAACCATTCAACCAGTCTTTTCCAAGAAATCTTTTGTCAATAGAGCAGGAAAAACACATACTGATGGAAGCAGTAGTAAATTCTTTGTGGCATCAACGTATATTGTTTATTTATAAGATCATCCAGCTCCGCTCATCTATATTTTCCTTTCCCTTTTCCGATGTATATATTACGTGGTCTATCACAGGATTCAGAGGACAAAACTAATTAGCTGGTTAGGTAAATACAAGGGGATGGAGAATTTGATCGAAACATAGATGATAGCAAGTTAAGTAGGAAATATGCTGATATAGGACCTGCACCATTTGTGCAATATAGAACAATAATGAACCGAGGTAATGAACCAAAGCAAGACCTGAAGAGATGCTTTTCAGACATCAATCACCACTAGAATTTGCATGCTGTATTTGAGGATCTGATTAATACTACATCTGCATGACACTACACTGTTGTGTTGTTTTACAACTATTGAAACTAGTACTGAATAAGTCTACAACTCTAAGATCAAGACATGTGGCAAATGCAAAAACATCTTTACCAATGCAAAGAAGGAAGCATTGGAAAACCGAAACAATGATGCATACATTACTTCCGTACTAACCTTTGCTTGTACTAGTTTGTGCTGAATCTTCCGAAACAAACACCCGTCGGCACCCTTGCAGGAACATACTCCATCCATATCTCGCCTAGTGTGCGGATTTTTCGCTGTTGTCCCGCGACTTGGTGTCAGCATCTCATCTCTGCCATCAAAAGGTTCACATACAAGTCAGCTCATCAGATCGACTGGTGCCATGTCATGATTTCCTTAAGGAAGGTTAGATTAGATCGAGAAAAGGTGTAGTCGTACAGTGCTAGGCAGCAACCACAACGATTATGGCCGGACGTGGCCGCTCGCCGAGACAGGAACTTGGTGCCGCTCACCGGCCGAGCAACCCTCGACATGTTGTGGGGAGAAACAAGGGGTGGTGGTGGTGGCGCTTGGTTGAAGGAACAGAGGAGGGGAACTTGTGGGGCACGAGCAACAGATCAAGGGTCAACACAGAGCAAAGGGCCGTACATTTATAGAGAAGACTTGGCCAACAACGAGCGTGCAGAGTCGTCGGATGGGATGGCGATCCGCGTGACGCGCGCGACAGCCAATGGATGGATGGAACCGGAGGGAGGAGGCGGAGCGATGGCAGCAATTGAACGAGGATGTGTGTGTGTGTGTGTGTTTTTTTTAGGATAAACGAGGATGTGTGTTGAAGAGTGCCTGATTACTAGGAGGCATCTGTGCTGGAGAATTAATGTAGTATTTGTTACGTTTCCTAACTAATAACTCCACCCCTCTAATAAAGCCAGGTAGGTAGGAGGTTTCCATGTATATTCTGGCTAAATATGATTGAGAATCACGACGGATCTCTATGATTTTTTTGCCAGGTGTCAAATCTCCCTGTTAATCCTTAATCCCCTCCCTTCTGTCCCCTAAAATAACAAACTTTGCATCTACGGATCAGTCATGCATGCACTTGAGTAGTACTAGATTATTAGAGAAGAGAACATCCCTTCTGTCCCCTAAAATAACAAACTTTGCATCTACGGATCAGTCATGCATGCACTTGAGTAGTACTCCCTCCATTCCAAAATATAGTGCGTTCGTGCTTCCCGAGATGCAACTTTGACCATAAATTTAGCCAACGAGACCAACTGCGGCGGGAGAAAAAATTATATAATTGAAAACTTCTTTCGAATACGAATTCACTGATATAATTTTTGCTCCCGCCGCAATCGGTCTTGGTAGTTAAATTTACGGTCAAAGTTGAAACATATGGATAGAGAAAGCACTACATTATGGAATGGAGGGAGTACTAGATTATTAGAGAAGAGAACAAAGGCAAGAAAAAATCGATCACTTCACTTTGTACAAGATTCAATTAAAGGCTGTGCTCATAACAGGTTGTGCCGGCAGCTGGGGCTGAGTTGCCAAGGGAGAGGAAGGTTGTGCCGAGAACTAATATAGGACGATTTGTTACAAACTGGTGGGTAGTTTCATTTATCCTACTCCCTAGCTTGCAAAAACATCTTATATTATGAGAGACGGAGGGATTGGCAACTTAATTAGGATTGTGAATGAATCACGTTAGATCTTTGTGTTATTCCTACATAGAGTAGAGTGGAGTAAACTAGATAAAATGGATGACTTCAGTCGTACAAATTGTCGAGAGGTCGATAGCGAGCAGGTCGATGCCCACCCGGCCTCAAGATGCTCCAGCAGCGCCCCGCCGGCCTCGCCGTTCCTTCGGACAAGAACAAGAAGACCGGTTGCTTCCAACTGGTTGATGGTCACCTGCCAAATAATAGAATCCATCCTGTCAAGTACCGTGCTTGCTCAGTTACAAACATACAAACAAGCACCATCCAGTCAGTTTCTAATGGTACGTTTGAAAACACACACTTGCTTCTCAAAATTCATCATACACACCATGTATGCCATTCATAAGCCGCACACACGACTTCACCTGCTACATGTCTAATTTAATAAGCACTATTGAGGGAGTCCTGGATTCGGGGGTATCCGGACAGCCGGATTATATCCTTTGGCCGGACTGTTGGACTATAAAGATACAAGATTGAAGACTTCGTTCCGTGTTCGGATGGAACTCTCCTTGGCGTGGAAGGCAAACTTGGCAATACAGATATGTAGATCTCCTTTCTTGTAACCAACTCTGTGTAACCCTAACCCCCTCCGGTGTCTATATAAACCGGAGGGTTTAGTCCGTAGGACCAAGAACAACAATCATACCGTAGGATAGCTTCTAGGGTTTAGCCTCTACGATCTCATGGTAGATCAACTCTTGTAATACTCATGTCATCAAGATCAATCAAGCAGGAGTAGAGTTTTACCTCTATCGAGAGGGCCCGAATCTGGGTAAAAACATCGTGTCCCCCTCTCCTGTTACCATCCGTCTAGACGCATAGTTCGGGACCCCCTACCCGAGATCCGCCGGTTTTGACACCGACATTGGTGCTTTCATTGAGAGTCCTCTGTGTCGACATCGTTAGGCTTGATGGCTCCTTCGATCATCGATAGCGATGCAGTCCAGGGTGAGACTTTTCTCCCCGGACAGATCTTTGTATTCGTCGGCTTCGCACTGCGGGCCAACTCGCTTGGCCATTTGGAGCAGATCGAGAGTTACGCCCCTGGCCACCAGGTCAGGTTGGGAAGCTTAAACTACATGGCCGACATCCGCGGAGACTTGATCTTCGACGGATTCGAGCTCCTGCCGAGTGCGCCGCACAGTCACGATGAACATGATTTAGCTCTACCATCGGACGGTGTTCAGGAGATCGCACCAGCAATCGCTCCGACCCTCAGTTCGGAGCCAATTGCGCCATCCATTGGACGGGTGGATAGACCCCGCCACGGAGGCCGCATTCTCAGCGACGATCGAGCCAGGTATCGACCTTACCCTTCATGAGAGTCGTGACGCCAAACTGTCGGATTCTTCCCCGGCCACGGACTCCGAACCGCCTGCGCCCGTGCCTATCGAATCCGACTGGGCGCCGATCACGGAGTTCACCTCCGCGGATATCTTTCAGCACTCGCCCTTCTGCGACATACTGAACTCATTAAGGTCTCTCTCCTTGTCAGGAGAATCCTGGCCGAACTATGTCCGGCAGGATTGGGATGCGAATGACGAAGAAATCCGCCGCCCACCCACCACCCATTTAATAGCCATTGTCGATGATTTGACCGACATGCTCGACTTCGACTCCAAAGACATCGACGGTATGGACGACGATGCAGGAGACGAACAGGAACCACTGCCCACAGGGCACTGGACAGCCATCTCATCATATGATATATATATGATGGACACACCCAAAGAAGGCAATAGCGACGGGACAACGGAGGATGACCCCTCCAAGAAGCAACCCAAGCGACGACGTCAGCGGCGCCGCTCTAAGTCTCGCCAAGGCAAAAGCGGTGATACCGGCACAGGAGATAATAGCACTCCGGACAGTGCCGAAGATGACGACAATCCCCTCCAACAAGATTTAGAGCAGGAGGATGGAGAAGCCAGCCCTCCTGAGAGAGCGGTAGATGGAGAGGCGAAGGATGATAATTACATGCCTCCCTCCGAAGACGAGGCAAGCCTCGACGATGATGAATTTGTCGTGCCTGAGGATCCCGTCGAGCAAGAGCGCTTCAAGCGCCGGCTTATAGCCACGGCAAAAAGCCTTAAGAAAAAGCAACAACAGCTTCGAGCTGATGAAGATTTGCTAGCTGACAGATGGACTGAAGTCCTTGCGGCCGAGGAATATGAACTCGAACGCCCCTCCAAGAGTTGCCCAAAGCGCAGGCTGCTACCCCGACTGGAGGAGGAAGCATTGAAACCTACATCTCCAGCGTATGACGCGGCTGATCGGCCACCTCGTGGCCGCGACAGAGCGGCATTTCAGCCAAAGGCCCAGCCCGCACCCCGGCGCCACTCAAATAAAAATGTCAAGGCACGGGGAAATACGCTAGACCTGCAAGACGTATTGGAGGGCAAAGCAAAACACGCAAGATCGATCTACGGATCACGAGGGCGCGCCACTACGCGAGACGATAACCGTCACGCCGGATACAGTAAAAGTAAATCCGACCGGGCCGAACATAGCGGACAAGACTAATATGAGCTGTGTCGTGATATAGCTCAGTATAGAGGCGCTGCACACCCTCTATGCTTTACAGACGAAGTAATGGATCACCAAATCCCAGAGGGTTTCAAACCCATAAATATCGAATCATACGATGGTACAACAGATCCTGCGATATGGATCGAGGACTTCCTCCTGCACATCCACATGGCCCGCGGTGACGATCTACACGCCATCAAATACCTCCCACTCAAACTCAAAGGACCAGCTCGGCATTGGCTGAACAGCTTGCCAGCAGAATCCATTGGCTGTTGGGAAGATCTGGAAGCCGCATTCCTCGACAACTTCCAGGGCACTTATGTGCGACCACCAAATGCCGATGACTTGAGCCACATAATTCAGCAGCCAGAGGAATCGGCCAGGCAATTCTGGACACGGTTCATAACCAATAAAAATCAAATCGTTGACTGTCCGGATGCAGAGGCCCTAGCAGCTTCTAAGCATAACATCCGCGACGAGTGGCTCGCCCGGCACCTTGGCCAGGAAAAGCCGAAATCTATGGAAGCCCTCACGACACTCATGGCCCGCTTTTGCGCAGGAGAGGACAGCTGGCTGGCTCGCAGCAATAACATATCAAAGAACCCTGGTACTTCGGATACCAAGGATAGCAATGGCAGGTCATGTCGCAACAAATATAAGCGCCGTATCAACAGCGACAATACCGAGGATACGGCAGTCAATGCCGGATTCAGAGGCTCTAAACCCGGTCAGCGGAAAAAGCCATTCAAAAGAAGCACTCCGGGCCCGTCCAGTTTGGACCGTATACTCGATAGCTCATGTCAAATACACGGCACCTCCGACAAGCCAGCCAACCACACCAACAGAGAATGTTGGGTGTTCAAGCAGGCCGGCAAGTTAAATGCCCAAAACAAGGATAAGTGGCTACATAGCGATGACGAGGAGGAGCCCCGGCCGCCAAACATCGGAGGACAGAAGAGGTTCCCCCCACAAGTGCGGACGATGAACATGATATACGCAACCCACATCCCCAAGAGGGAGCGGAAGCGTGCGCTAAGGGACGTATATGCGTTGGAGCCAGTCGCCTCAAAGTTCAACCCATGGTCCTCCTGTCCGATCACCTTCGATCGCAGGGACCACCCCACTAGTATCTGTCACGGCGGATTCGCCGCACTGGTCCTAGACCCAATCATAGACGTATTCCACCTCACTCGAGTCCTTATGGACGGCGGCGGCGGCCTGAACCTGCTTTATCAGGACACAGTGCGCAAAATGGGTATAGACCCCTCAAGGAACAAACC